GCACAACACCCACCACACACAGCACCCATCATACAACATCCACCGCACAACACCCACCCCACAACACCCATCGCACACCAACACCCATCGCACACCAACACTCATCGCATCATATCGGTCCTCCCGTCCATCGCTCACGCATGCGCGCTCTTGGCCCGAGGCTTTGGCGCTTTGTGCGCATGCGCGCGGCGCCCCCGTCGCTCTGAGCGGGTGGGTGGGGATGCGTGCGCGCGGCGCTGACGGGAGCGGCAGCGGTAAGGGCGGCGCGGGCGGCGGGCCGAGCTGAGCTTCTCTGGGCTGCGGCGTCTTGGGCTGGGGCTTGGAGGGCGGCTTGAGGGCTCGCGAGTGGCAGCGGGGAGGCCGTGGCGTCGCCGTGGTGCCGCCGCCTGCGGGGTGCGGGCGGGACGCGGGGCTGCGCTGCTCTCAGCGCGGCCGGTTTCCTTGGATGCCCCGAGCGCCGTGCGGCTGCTCGGTTGTTTGTCCGGGAGCCGCTCTCCGGGCGTGGATGCGCCGCGGCCGCTGTCGGCTGTAGGGAGGATTGCTGCGGCTGCTGGCCGGCGGGACGCGATCCTGCAGAGCGGCGCCGGGACCCCGCGTTACAGCCCCGGAACGGGGAGCCTTTGTGGCCGGTTCCTGCAGCAAGCTGCCGCGTCCGACGGCGATTCTGGCTCAAAGGCAGGCCGGGTTGGATTGCTGGAGTGTCCGGGAATGCTCCGAGCGCAGAAATGAGGCAGATCGCAGCTAGGTATTACGAGAAAAAGGAATTCCCTGCTGGAACGCCCTGCTTCTCGCCGCCGCTGGTAAATAGGCATCTCGTGCAGATGGTTGCTTTGCAGAAGCAGTGCTGATAACCTGTGTGTAAGGACTCGGGCAGGTGCTGCGTTAGCTTCTTGGTGCTTCCAGGCAATGCGTGGTGCTTACGTCCTTCATCGTTAGTGAGCTGGATGTGGGTTCTGTTGCACAACGGTCAGCAGGTAGGAATCTTGCTACCGAATGGCTTTTCTTTCATTAATATTTGAAAATTTGCAGGCGTTTGTGCGGCTCAAGTTTGAATGCGAGGGAGAGCGCTTTCTGCTTCTCTTTCTCGCTGTTAATAATTAAATGCTGCCAAGTAAATGTTTGTAGCAGGCTGCCCGTGAACCTTGCACATCTTTAAGCACCTCTGCGCATCCCAGCCCTCTCCTTCTGTCGCAGCCTTTGGTTACTCCCCTTGGTTGGTTTTTTTTCTTCATTCTGCTAACTTGAAACCTTGGCACAGCCCCCAAACTCCATCGGTGTTGTTATTTGGATTGTAAACTGGTGAAAGCTATGGCTGCACTAAATTAACGTGCCCATAAATTCAGGACAAGCAAGCAGGTAAAGCAAACCAGTCTGCACTGCTTATGTCTCTCAGTGTCTCCAAGAACAAGGTTACTGCAATCTGATAATGCTGCCCTGGTATTTGTTTAGCTCACAAGTGCTTTTGCTTCAGTGATGAAGCTGCATGGAGTTGGTGGCAAGCAAATTACAGACCAGAAAATTTCGGTCCTTGCTGTTCTTGCAGCTCTTCAGAACATATCCTGCTCTGTTAGGATGGAGAGGCTGCTAAAGTTGCTTGTTTAGCTGTGTGGATGCCTGCTGTGAAGCAGACAGTGTGGTAGAACTCAAAATAAGCTGTGTTGATTGTCAGGAAGAAAAGTGGCTATTTTCCATGTATAGATAGCCTTGAATTGTGGCTGAGCACCAAAGTTTCTCTTAGAAGTCCTGTGCAAATACTCAGATTTGCATGCTGTGTAGCTTAGAGTGGTGGCTTGCAGGAGAGTTTAAGTAAGTAATGCTGGTCTTTGGCCGCTGCGTCCCCTTGCACTTGACCAGGCAGTCACACGACCTGTCTGATATAAAAATAGAGCTACCTGCACTATATTAATGATTGACTCATGTGGAGTCTGTGTGCTGGGTGGGAGTACGGGCTGAAGGCATCCAGCTGTGTGACCAGCTGTTGGAAGTTCTCTGAACTAATGCGTGAATGTGCTCTTATCTGTGTTGCACCTGCGCTCAGGCTTCACCTTATCTCTTTTATTCTCCTCTTGCTTAAACTTTCCAAGTTTGAGGATGGCTTCCTGAGCTCTCTAAGGTGTTGCAGAAGACCACGGGTTGTTGACGTGCGCTGTCTCAGGGAAGGAATTCCATAGGCTGGCTGTATGAGTGAGCGTGCTGGGTTGTGCTGGCAATAGGTGTAACTTGTGTGTGGCTGCACCGGTGCTGGATTGCTTTCTTAGGATTTATTCAGGGGGAAACAACGTAAGGAAGAAGCGACTCGTCCAAAATGTGGCTCACTTTCTAGAAGCTGCCCATTTCACATAAAAAATTTTGGCCCTTCCTGTAACTTTGTAGATGAAAACATTGGGCAGCGCTGGGGCAGGAGTGTCAGAAATGAACTGCAAGGGGAACGTTGGCTGAAAGTATTTATTGCAGAGGTGCCACCAACAGTAATCCTGCTTGTGGTTTGAGAGACTGGAAGTTGTTTATGCTGTGAGCACTTTGATAATATGGTTAATTAGCTGCTCATCTGAACTGTGAGGGTATCTGTCCCCTTGTTCTCTGTTCTGTGGAGGCTGGGAGCCATGCAGAGCTTCAGGCAGATGCCTTTTAAAGGTTACAGAGGTCACTGAGGCACTGAATGCTGCCCACCACATCGCTGGTCCGATTTTAACTTCTGTTTCCATCCCAACAGACCCAGCAGAAGGGTGGAAGTCACAAGGAGATCTACACAAGGACAAGTTCTAAGGTAAGGAGTAGTAAGATCGCTTCAGTCTGAGGGATGTTTGGATGATTTCTTTCATTCATCTCCTAGTTTTGTATAATAGCTTCAACGTTTAGAGGAAATGTTTGCTTTTTGATCTGATACCCCAGGGGGCCAGGGGTCCAGCTTGTGCTCTGTGTCTTGGTACAGCCCCAGCCCTCTCCTCCCACTGAGGGACTGATGTCCATGGGCCAGAGCAGCCACATTTGCCAGAGGAGTAGGTGTGTAGGATGCTTTAAGTACCTTTAAGCTTATTCAGAATGAATGTGTGGATGAAGAATGGCATCCAGCACAAGGCCTCTCATTTGCCCCCTCTCCTAACCCCTCATCTATCTCCATGGCCCTCTCACAGGGCTCCTCTTCCCAAAGTTTTGCCCCACTGCTCTGACCAGTGTTTAGCAGTCTGCAGTAACATTGAGATTAAAACCTCAGCAACTGTTGTGTTGCTGTAAGTGCCATTTGGTTATGAAATTAGGGTTGAAACAAGGTTGCACTGGTTTGGGATTCTGCAGTGCTTGCTTTTGCAGTGTGAAATGCTGTATGGACACCATTGCTGCTCCAAAAGAGCAACTTGCTACTCTTTGGGTTTTAGTAAGGCTTTGGAAAGGCTACGGAGATGAGAATCAAAAGCAATGTATTGTTCACTGATCAGGGAAATGATTTAGCAGAGGGTTGTTAGGGCAGTATGGTTAGGCTGTGACTTGATGATCTTTAAGGTCTTTTCCAACCTGAGCGATTCTATGATTCTGTGATTCAAATGCCCTGAAATAGAACCGTTGGCATTTTGCCTGCAGTTGGACCCTCCTTTCACTGTAAAGTGTATTTGTAAGCTTCCTAGTGTTGGTGTGTGAACGTTTTGTTGGTGTGGGGTGGCCTACCTGGTGTTGTTTCAGAAAAGGAGCAGGGACAGCAGGTCACTGAAGCTTTTCTTTGGGGCAGCCTTGGAGCAGATGCACAGAGTTTTACAGAGCTGGAAGAGGATGGTTTCTTTGCAGTTGACAGCTTTAACTTTGTAATTTTCGTAATGTTCTTCTACTGTAAATCAGCTTTTGTTTTCCAAGTTCCATACCTTTAGCACTTAGTGCAGAGGGTAATAAGGTAGTCTGAGACAGAAGCATTTTCCTGCTCCCTTTTCAGCCGGTAGTTGAAAATGTGAGGCTGTAGAACCTGCCCTGAAATGAACAAGATCTGCTGATAGCTGCTGGTGTGAGTGGAGTGTGCCTTACCATTTGCAAACTACAGGAAGGCATGCAGCATTTCCACAGGCTCCTTGCGGGGTAAGGACTTGTGTTCTCAATTAGCCCACAGTTAGTGGTTCTGCCCATCTTCTGACTTAGGTTTCTCTTAAGCAATCTTGATTGCCAGAATAAAGCTTTTTGTTGATATTGGTTATGTGCGTGTGTGCACACACTATACCTATATGTGAGTGGAGAATGTATTGACAAGATGCAGGCTGTGACTGTGATGCTCTGGTTCTGCACATCAGGGATTCCCTGCAGCCTGCAAGCAAGACTCCTGGATCTCAATGTCCTGCCAGCCTGTTGTTCAATCCTGCACAGCAAAGGCTACTGTTCTGTGAAACAGGAAGGCAGGAACAGGAAAGCACAGCAGCATGGTATAGCATGACTTGCAGAGTGATGGAGGCAGGCTGTGTTGGTCAGGGGTTCTGCTCCTGCTGTGCTTTGCGTACGGTGTGTTCTGCAGCTCTGTGGCTGCGTGGGGTGCACTGGTGTGCACAGGCTGACCCTGAGCAAAGCAAAATAGTTCAGAGGAGATCCCTGGGCTCACTGTTGTGACACCTGGTCATGAAAACTGTACACTTACAAACTGCTCAGCTGGGGAGGGAAAGATCTAGGACATGTATGTGCTTTTAAAAAAAAAAATCTTACAACGTGTTGTGGGATGGTTTCCTCATACACTTGAATCATCACCGTTGTCTGTGAAATGCTTTCTGACAAATGTCTTGCAGGAGCTTTGGATGTCAGGGGAAGTTCTTGACAGAGAGAGTGGTGAGGTGCTGGAACAGCTGCCCAGAGAGGCTGTGATGCCCCGTCCATCCCTGGAGGTGTTCAAGGGCAGCCTGGGCTGGTGTTAAAGGTTGGAGGTTGGTGGCCCTGCACGCGGCAGGCGGTTGGAGATTCGTGATCCTTGAGGTCCCTTCCAACCCTGTGATTCTGTGAGCTGAGTGATGCCCTTTTCTGATATCTCCTATTCTGTTTTCTACTTGTAAAAATCTGTGTTTCCATCATTTGTGCTGTCAGCTGCTTGTGCTGAACCTAAGGCAAGAAATAAAGCATGGTTCCAGGTATTCCTATGGGGGAAGTTTAGATAGGAGGAAAAAGAGAAATAAATCTGTGTCCAGCATAAATAAACGCAGACGCTGTGTGTGAGAGGAGAACGTCTCAAAGCAGAGATGTTTGAAGAGATTTTTCTGCCATTCGAAGTTTGTAATGGGTTAAGATGTAGAGGTGGTAAATGTCAAACTGGTGGCAAGCTTTCAATGCTAGAGGGCGGAAAACGGATTGCTTTATTGCATACAGATTAGCTCTTGTGTCAGAGCTTTTCAGTGACTGTTGCCCTTTGCCTTTGGTTGCATGTAGTGGACTCAGTTCCCAAACTGAGAAAGATAGGAAGTCAGGTGTTTAGAAGAGAAAATGTACAGTGAACGTACAGTCTTCAGTCTTTAATTCTTACTCTGTCTTGTTTGTTTTGGGAGCGATGGAGTGTTGTACCTCAGTGGAAGGTTTTCATCAGCACGGCTCATGGAGTCAATGGCGAGCATGAGAGGTGCCTGTGCTGTCCCAGGGCAGGAGGTGGGAAGGAGGGCTGGCTGCCTCCTGTGGAAGTGCTTGCAGCTGTCCCCCACGTGCATGCTGACCATTACCTGACCGTTATCACTCCTTGCACTTCTGAGCTTTTTGCTGTTGTAAAGGACACGGTAGGTCAGTCACGGGTAATTAAAAGACCCTGTTAAAGAAGACAGTGGTGCTTTTCAGAAGATGCAAGCAGAGGGTTCCAAGGCAAACCTTCTGTGTCTGTGCTTCGCGTACAAGAGAAATTATACAGGTGCTTAAAATGATGTGTCCTGTTGTGTACTGTTAACAGTGCTACCCAACGCTGTCAGGTCTTTACCTCTTCTCAGTGAAGTGAGCGTTGAATACTTCTTAGGGTTCAAAAGAGTATGAAAATCCAATGGGGAGCAAAGGCGCTCCTGTTGTTACTGATAGGCTGCTGTTATAGCGTCGGTTGTGCTCCCGAAGCTGGAGCACAGCTCGTGCTGAACACAACGCCCGGGGCGATGCATGAAGAGATCGAACTGCATTTAACTCATCAAAGCAATCCATGCAACTCATATCCTCTGCTGAAAAGGATCATTGCTTAAAGTGCATCGCGGTGTGAATTGCTGATCGCTTCGGCTTGTTTTGTTGCTAAATGGGGTGCTTGAGTTTTGTCTGTTACCTTTTTCTTCTCAGCTAATTTGTGGAATGGGCAATCACTGAAGCTGTAAGTAGGAGACAGGAGGTGCTGGGGGAAGGAAGGGTGGCACTGTGACTCCAGTCTTGTTTCCTGATCCATGTAGCAGAGATGTGAGGGTAAACTGCTGTAGGCCTGGACTCAGAAGGAACTGAAAGATGCACCCAAGAGTTGGGTAGGAAAGACTTAAGAGCCTGCTGGTTGCTTTTTCTCAGCAGCATTACAAGCTTGCTGCATCGCTTTGTTCTTTCGTGTATAAAGTGAAAACCTCAGGTGTGATTCAGCGTTGTCCAGGGATGGCAGAGCACGTTATAGAAAGCATGCTGACATATTTGTCTGTATCTATGTGTATATGTGCAGTACATAGCAAAAGGTGCTGGGAAAACAGTCTTCATTAGAACCAGTGTAGCAGTGCACGGTTAAATATTATTGCCAGAGTTTACTTTCTTGTTATGCGGCCAGAACGCTGTGTCAGGGCAGAGTATCCTGGTTATCATCTGTCATCGGAGTTTCAGAAGGCAGAACTGCAAGACTGCTGAAATAGAGAACACGAGTTTCCTGATCTCATGCCCTTTTCCCTGTAGTATCTGCTTTGAGGAACCTTCCTGTTTATTAAATTCATGTCAAACAGCGTCACCTCAGCTTTCAAGCAGAGTTGGACTCTATTTTTTACAAGTTTGGAATACAGCTGTTTCACTGCTGTGGATGTGTGCAGGGCTGAAAGAAATGCATGTACGTTGGATTAGTCGTAATTCACGTGCTTCAGTTTGCTAATTCCTGCAGTTTGGAAAGCAAAAACCAATGATCTTAGTGAACTGGAGGTGGGGTTGGTTCAGTTTGTGATTGAAATATACTGAAGTGCCGCTTGGAAAACGTACAAAGTTCTTTGGCAGTGAAATTCGAGTTGTCCATGTGTTAACTTTAGTAAAAGTGCAACCTGATATTCTCTTTAACGAAGGGAAGTCATAATTCATAGGATCACAGAATGGCTTGGCTTGAGAGGGACCTTAAAGGTCGTCCACTTCCAAGTCCAAACCTTTTCTGTACTGAATGATGTATTTCGAACTGATTTCATTTTTTTTCTTTGCAGGCAGTATCTGACTTCTGATTGCCTCACTTCATTGCTCAATATTTTATACAGCTTCATTTTTCAGACGTCTTCTGAAAGTAGCCCACGTAACAACAGGAAAAAGAGGGGAATGGAATGAAAATGTGGCCGGGCTGGCAAGCCAAATGTTTCCTGACAGTGCAGTCACTGACTTGAAATTAAGCCAGCTCCAGTTCCATGGCCAGTGCTCGGTTTTGAATGATGATGATGATTTGTTTGCTTCACTGTTCTAAACCGAACTTGGAAAAGTCCTTTGTCTGTACTGCAGCCATTTTTGGTGTATTTTCAGTAAGCACTTCTGCTTCCCTCTTGTTCTTGCTGGTGGAGCTGGCAGCTCCATTAGAGGTCCATAGATTCAGCAACATCAGAATTGCGTGGCAGTTGCTGATAGAAAAGTTTGTTCTTTTCTGTGCTGATTCCTGCTTGGGGAAGTCAGTCTAATTAGAAAGGAGAGCAGGGACTTTCCCTTCAAGAGGTGTGTGCAGCTCTTAAGCTTTGCCAGGTTTTTTTTGCTGATGTTTTGAATCTCCTTGTTCTGCTCTGAGGTGCTTCAAAGTATCCCAGTTCTCTGCAGCCCAGTGCTGGGCCCTTCTGTTATCCGCAGGCTGTGTTGGAGGACACTCCTGCAATATGTTGCTAACTTCTCCGAAGTTACTTTAGCAAGTAGGAGAGAGGTTTTGTTGCGCTGCAGATGTATCAGTCTCACGGGGAGACCTTTGGGGACCTTGGACCAATGTATTTGTGCATGTGTCGTTCTGAAATGTTTTCTTGTAGTTGTCTTATCCCCTTCTCTGTATGTGACAGCTAAGTAGAGTGGAGGATGAAAGAAGATTGGAAAGGAATGGGAGGAGGACACTGCAAAGGCTGGCTAGAACTTTTCTGAAGTTTCAGGCTCTTCTCTGGCAAGTAAATGCTCCCAGTTGGAGGCCTGCTGCTTGTAGCTGTTGGCACAGTGTCAGGAGCTATGCACCATTACACTGTAGCACTCTGATTCTGTTGGCTTTGCTTGCCATTAAGAGCTGCTTTGGTGACCTTGACAAAGCCTGTTTGCTTTGCTGTTTTGTTTGTTTGTTTGTTTTAATTTAGGTCTTTGAAAAGCATGAACTGACAGACCTGCATAAATAGCCAGCAGATTTATCCCAAAGTGTGTGTAAGAGTGAAAGCTCTGATCACAGCTTCTGTCAGTCTCATTTCTGACCCCGAGCTGCTGACCTCAGTGACTTGCTGAGGAGCTCGTCACATTAATTAGTTTCTGGAATGGGCAGAAACTTCCAGAGGGGAAGGTGTTTGTTTGATGCAAGCTCTAAATATGCCTGTGACTTTGAGTGATAGAAAATGAGGAAAAAGAACAGCCCAGGTGTCACCTGACTGTCTTATGCATTGACTCAGAGAGGTTTTACTGAACACTTTCTGATATAAGTACAAAGGGCTCCCAAGGGCTGATGGCAGAAAGGGAAGACAGGCAGTGCTTCCAAACACTGTTGACACCCTGCTTGCAGAAGTGAATGAGGGAATACACATTGCCTCTTCAAGAATTAACTTTAAATAAGTGTACAACAAGAAGAAATGGTGAGCATTTCTCTATTGCTCTTACATTTTGTGATGTAAGAGATTTTATAAAAGCAGATCCTTTTTGGATAACCTGAAAGATATTTCCACCCTCAGCTGTTTGTGAAAGGCTCCTGTGTGCTGCTGACAACTTTCTGAACTGGAAGTTAAATTTGGGAGTTTCAGCGTGGAGGTCCAAAAATCCCAAATTAGTATTTGAGTTCAGATCATTTTAATGCAGCCGTTGTACAAAAGGCCGTGTCAAGTTCCATGCATTGGCTAGTCTGTTGACACACCAGTTATAAAAGAATTTTCAGAAGCATTTCAGTAACTGGTTTTGTTACTTTACCCTTTTTGCATAATATCACTGGTGCACAGGTCAGTTTTGTAGGCCTGTTGCATTTCATGGGGCTTATTTGCCTTTGCAGAGTCTGCAGCATCAGTGCAGGTGTGCTCCCCAGCTTCAGCCTGGCGCCGATGAGGGCGTTCCTGCTGTCACTAAAATGTATTACTGCATCTCCACTTCTATTTTTGCACTAACTGATTAAACATAATTCAAGTATGGCCATTAGTGGTTGCGGTCACCCTGGCTGTGGGGACCCAGGTAAACTTCAGAGCAGGAGTCAACTAGTAGATCATGTCAACGAGTGGTCTGAACGGGAGCAGGAAGATCAGGCATCAGCTTCATGGTTTGAGTTTTCTAACGGTGATAGCAGGCCCTCTAGAGGGTGATTTGCTCACTGACATTTGTACAAGATCAGAACCAGACGTCTAGTGCAGAGCTTAAGGGGTTTAAGAGGCAGTTTCGTGAAGCTGCTCTAAGCTGATGTGAGCCTGTATTGCCATTAAAAGGATGGTTCTGCCTTGCAGTCGTCTTTGCACTGGCACACTGATGTTGAGCTGGCTGCACATCTTGCTTGTCCATTGCAAATGAAAAGCTGTACCAGATCAACAGACCAATCTTGGTGACCATGTGGCTGCACGAGAGCCAGTGCCAATGTGGAGAAGCAACTGTGGGAGTACATGGTTGTGTCTAGCAGGAGTTCAGCATCTCTTTTCACTAGCTGCAGAGTATTGGAGCAGTTTAAGCTGCTCATGAAATTCCTACTTTTAGTATAAATAGTGGTTACTTCCCCCAGCAACTTAGGAATAGAGACTGCAAATAGAACAAACTTTGCAGTGTGTATTTCTGAGCAGAATGCATCTGTTCTCTTAAGTGAGAAGTTACTGCAAAAGCCCATGCCTCTGCTTGGGGCTGCAGTCAGGAAGCTCACTTTATGTGCAGATGTGCTCAGAATCCATCAATGAGTTATTGATGAGTACTTAATGGGAATGGAAGTGAAGTTTAGCATAAAAATAATTAAAAAAAGTATGAGAGCAAGTCAAATGTATGCATGTGTTCCTGAAGAAAATGGGATGCCATCTCTTACTCAAACTTGCTTTTTATTATTGTTCTCAGGAAAAGCAGCAAGTCATTTAATGATCACTTCTCATAGCTTTTCTCCTATGCTTCCCTTGGAGCCATGGATGAATACAACCGCTTTGTGGATTGGGACAAAATGGATGTTACTGTCCAGAGCCAGGATGTAAAGGAGCTGACCTGCACCGAGTTCCAGGAGCTGAAGCAGCTGGCTCGGCAAGGCTACTGGGCCAAGAGCCATTCGCTGAGAGCCAAGGTGTACCACAAGCTGATCAGCAATATCCCGTGTCGGACTGTGACCCCAGATGCCAATGTTTACCGGGACATTGTGGTGAAGATAGTTGGAAAACGTAACAGCAGCTCCCTTCCACTGCCAGAGTTTGTGGACGACAGCCTCGTTCCCACGTACTGCTTGAACGCAGAAGGCATTGGGGCAGTTAGGAAGATTATACTGTGCATTGCAAATCAGTTCCCAGACATATCGTTCTGCCCCGCGCTGCCTTCTGTGATCGCTCTGCTTCTCCACTACAGCAGGGATGAGGCGGAGTGCTTTGAACAGGTCTGTCGCATCCTTGCTTGCAACGACCCGTCCAAGCGGCTCATCGACCAGACGTTCCTGGCCTTTGAGTCCTCCTGCATGACCTTTGGGGACCTGGTGAACAAGTACTGCCAGGCAGCACACAAGCTGATGGTGGCAGTGTCTGAGGACGTGCTGGAGGTGTACTCTGACTGGCAGCGGTGGCTCTTTGGAGAGCTGCCCATGGTTTACGTTGCTCGGGTCTTCGATGTGTTTCTGGTGGAGGGCTACAAAGTCCTCTATCGCGTTGCGTTGGCTATTCTGAAGTTTTTTCACAAAGTCAGGGCTGGGCAGCCCATGGAGTCTGACAGCGTGCAGCAGGATATCCGAGCTTTCGTGAGAGACATTGCCAAGTCGGTGTCTCCTGAGAGGCTTCTGGAAAAAGCCTTTGCCATCCGCCTGTTCTCACGGAAGGAGATCCAGCTGCTGCAGATGGCCAATGAGAAAGCTTTACAGCAGAAGGGCATCACAGTCAAACAGAAAAGGTAGGGGTCTCCCTGCAGGCGGTCCGAGTGAGCTCCTCAAACGTGAGATCCTGAGGTTTCCTCACTGATGAGTGGTCAGCCTGCCTTGGGTAAGAAGGAGTGCTCTAGGGCTGCACACCCGGTATCTCTGCTGACTTTTCTGTGCACTTGATTAGAAAAAAAGTCAGCAGCCCCGAATTAAGTGTTGTTGGGATTCTAGTGGGAAGTATGGTGTGTTTATAATTCTTTTTGGAGGTTCATGTTAATTGCAATTATTGCATCTCAAAAAGGTCTTTCCCAGGCTGCTTTTTAAACGGGAAAGCATTTAAAGCTGGAAAAACAGCCAATAAATGATTGGCAAGAAAAGTACCCAAGCAAACATGACAATAATTCTTAAATACGAGATTATTCATATAAAAGATCAATTTCCTGGTGTCTGGTACCATATATTCCACTGTTCTTTTACTGTAAGTAGACAAATGCTATCTGAGGTGGAAATGTTTTGCTCAACTGCAGAGTTACTCTGGTAGATGAAGGGAGAAGTCATGCTTACAGGTTAGTTTTTAAAGCAGTTTGACTGCAAGCCTCTTGAAAATGAAGAGCAATACCATAAGTGATAGCAGAACTTCTTACACGTATAGTGTATGCGTGAAGCTCCCAGTCTTTTCCAAGGGTATATTTTTACAATTGTAGGTTAGTGTACAGCTGGCTCGTGCTTTACTTTGCTTGTCTCCTGGAGGACACTGTTCTGCCAGGCTCAAGGCCTCTAGCAACTGCAGGGTCACATTAGGCAGAGTTCTGATCATTAAGTTCAGGACCTGCGAAAAGAAGCACTGCCTCTTCCAATCTGAGAATGTCAGCTTTTCTTCACGTGCTGAAGTTCAGAAGAGCTGTAAATATCTTTCTGAGTGTGTTAGAATATTCTTCAGCGACAGAATGAAAGTTAAGCAGGAGCCCCTGTTGCACTGAATGTTGTGTCATGGGGAGGCTTAGGTTGAAAGGGACCTTAAGGACCCTGCGTTGCCATCCACGAGATCAGGCTGCTCAGGGCCCCCTCCAGCTTGGCCTTGAAAGGTGTTGTGGAGGTATTGCTCAGAACAGAGGTACCTTCCAAGCAAAACTTAGTTGGTTGATATCCACGTAACTCCTGTAGAAACTGATTTACCAAACCGTGTTGCTAATGAATAACTTTTATCTTCTCTCAACTGCTTTCATAAACGTACCAGAGCTTCCCGTCATCCATTGGCTTGGCGCTGCTGTGAAGTAGGCTCAGTTTGGATCCTGCTGTCGGCAGATGTGGTTTCTGGAGAAGTGAGCTTTTCTCCAGTGCTCGATAGGATGTCAGTTTTCTCATCCAGATGCATATTTGGCCTGTGCAAAGAGATGATGGATTATTTTCCAATCCAATAACTGAGCAGGCGGCAAAAAGGGGAAAAAACAGATGGGAGAATGTAGAAAATACGTTAACAGAGCTTGTCTTTTTATTTTCCTCTTGCTTGGTGATTCAAATCAAACTGTACTTTTGTTTCTTTCCAGGCTCCTTACGTTCACTTTGTCAAGGCTATAGAAAATCACTGATCTTTTTCTGTCTTTTTTTGTCTTCCTCCTCATACGTTCTCCTTCTGTCAATTCCATACCCACTGCACCCCTCCTGTTTGCAGTGTTACATCTCCAAAAAGGTAGGTTCCAACACTTGGATCTCTGCACTCTGCTCGCTTCCTCTGTCTTTGCCTGGCTTTTGTTCTGAAGCTGTCACTATTGCTAATGCTGGGGCAAGAAAAGCAAGGCAGCAATCACAGCATCAGATTGCTGCATAACATCTGCATACGCTCTTACAAAGTTAGTTCAAAGCACCTGCACAGTTGTGAGATCTGGGGGTCGTGGGCACAGCTGCTCAGCACGGTGGTTTGCATGCAGTGGTGCGAATCTGTGTGCCCCAGGATGGAAAAGCTTGGTGCTAACGAGCAAATTGAAGTCATCACGATGCTGAAAGAAAAACTGTGGCAAGTGTTCTGTTGTTTTTTGTTCGAGGGGTGAGGGGTTCTGTTGTGGCGTTTTGTTTTTGTTGGCCCTGTTGCTTTTTGTACCATTAGGTATTGCCCACATTCAGACCTGGCATGTGCTGTTGCAAATTTATGCAAGACATGCTTGACTATTTTTTTTTTTCTTTGCAAGCTTTCTGCAGCTGATTGAAAAACTGTTGGCCTGAATCCTACTTGGCACACTCCTGAAAGTAACTTGTCTCGATTTATGCTACGTTGTATTTATTTCTAAGCAGAAATACTTCTGTGTCAAGAAGGTCAGAGTTACTCAGCCGTCTAGCATTGATGGGTAATTAAGTCATTCATCCAGTCTTGGCCCAAAAAGCATTTCTCTAAGAACAAAAGCCAGTGATTGTAATGCCCGATAAGCAGAGAACTTGCAAAGAAGGAGAGAGCATTAAGTCCCACAGATGTGTGGCTCCAAATTAACGCCGCTGGGACCATCTTTGGCCTTGTTGCAGGTGCCCTGGGTTAACTTCAGTGAGAGATACATGCTAATATTTGTACTAACTTGTAAAATCAAAGTGGGACTAATTTCCATGTGCGTTCGTGTCTGGAAGAACACCTTGAGAGCAAACTCACCAGAGCATGTTTCATATACAGTATGTCGTGGATTTTGTCTCCTTTCAGTCCGAGTGCTTTTAATTCCAGCCAAGCAAACCTGCAAGGTCCACCTTTTATTTACTGTTGTTACAAGATTGTGAAAGCAGCAAAAAGCAGGAATCAATTTCTGCTGGGAAGCAGGGAGTTCAGAGCTGAGGGGCCGGGTGTGGATGAGAGGGCATAACAGACAGCCTGCAACACCAGATTGTGTTTCAGCCTTAAACACCTGCAGCTGACCATTAATGACTGAAAGGAAACCTATCGCTTCCACCAGGCCTTTACGCCCTTAAATTGTGCTACTTTCTAACCCAGTCGTATCTTGTGTCCTTTGGGATAAGAAGGTATCTTCCCAACACCCCAGCAGAGGACAGCACTAGGGGTGAGATCCCAGTTAACTCCAGTTCAGTTCTGGTGATGGTTTCATGGCACATCTCCATGCTCTGCCAGTCCACATCCAGTGTGCTTAGCTTTGTTTTCCACTGGATGACTTTGAAAGGCCTGTGGTGGCGATGGCACCTAAACTTCATTTTCAGCATCTGGCATCAAATGAAACCTCTCTGTTTAGCCAGTTTGTGTGCTGTTCGTTTTCACTCCTGTACTGCTTGAAACGCGGCTGCCCAGCTGAAGCAGATGGTTTTCAGTACTAACAAATATTTTCTGAAGTTAACAGAAATGCTGCCAAAAAGGAGAGGAGGAATGAAGGTCAGGCACTTGCAACTCTAGTTGCAGTTTTCTGAAAGCCATAGGATTTATAAAGCAGTGCAGAATTTGGTTTGGAGGGGGCTGATGTCCAGGGGGACTGGTTTCAACACTGGATTACATTTCCAGTCTTAGGCACCTACGGCTGTGATTTATGATGGGGAAATAAGTCATTTCATACAGAATTCTGCAGCCAAGCAGTGACCCCAGTTTCACTCTCTGAATGGTGACATGAAATGTAAAATGATTCATGGTGATATTGAAGGGGCAGCCTGGAATAGGTTCATGAGGCTGATGGAATGCAAGGTGTGTTTTAGTGAACCAGAAGGCTCTGCTGGTAAAGATGATATCCACCTACATGGGAAAGTGCTAGTCCATTTATCACAGGATGGCCTGGGTTGCAAAGGCCCACGATGCTCCTCCAGCTCCAACCCCCTGCTGTGTGCAGGTCGCCAACCAGCAGCCCAGGCTGCCCAGAGCCACATCCAGCCTGGCCTTGAATGCCTGCAGGGATGGGGCATCACAGCCTCCTTGGGCAACCTGTTCCAGTGCCTCACCACCCTCTGATGAAAAACTTCCTCCTCATATCCAACCTAAACCTCCCCTGTCTCAGTTTAAGACCCCCATGCTTACCCATGTAAGCAGCCATTCCCCCATCATTGTGTTTTTCCTCTGGAAGTTCACTGTGATAAACCAGTTGACAGTGCTGAATGTTCTTCTAATTCCTCAAATGTGGGAAAAACCCTGCTTTTGAATGAGCTCAAACCAGGCCTTTGTTTGCCAGCTGTGTTCCACAGTTCCACCAAGCCTTGAGACCAAATGGGACCAGAAGGGCTGAGGCCTGCAGTAAGATCTTGGCAGTGTGGATTTGAGTCTGGGCTTGCATCAGGCTAGCTGACCTCTCTGGTGTCTCAGTGTGCTGTGATTAAAAGCAAAAATAAAATCCCAGGCAGAGTAATACTGTAAATTTTGCTGCTCACTGATTGTTGGAGGCTGTTTAAGAAGGTGTCCAAATGAGTTTCTTACTAACAAATAATGCAGGGCAACAGTGCAAGCTGTGACTTGGTTCATGTTGCTGAAGGAAGCAGTGGTGCTGGGTTGTTTTAAGTGACTTGAGGAGTCACCTGGCTAGTAATGCTGGCATTAAGGCAGCTGTGCTACATTTCAGTGAGCATTTGCCAGTTGTTCCTGGCAAGCTCTGCTCTAATGTGCTGTGCAAATGCTGATCTCTCTGTGCCACAGGCAAGGAAAAAAGATGTGTGATGTGTTTTAGGGAGCAGCCCAGCTGTGCAGGTGTGTAGCATTGAGGACTTCTGTGTTCTGTGAATGCAGGAGGAAGGAAATGCAAAACTATTAAAAGAAAAAAAAAAATGCATGAAGCCCTGAATTGGAAAACTCTTGCAGTTCTTGCACAAGCTGAACTCTTGCATGCAGAGCAAACTCCCCAAAACTTGGTGCAACTAATTGCCACTCGGTAACTTAATATCTTGTGTGAGTTCATCTGTCACTTCTCCCATGTTCTTGGCTGTCACATTTGCATTTTAAAAGTCTTTAACATCACTCATGAATTCAATAACCCTCATTTAATCCCCAGGCTCTAAGTTTGTGTGTTTATTTAATCTGAGAACCGAAGGCTGGTTGAGGCGTTCCGCTCTTATTACTACTTTTAGTACTTTCAAGTGTTTGAAAGCCATGAGTCCGTTTTCATAAAGGTACCAGGCCCCTTTGTGGAGGATGGGGGTGGTTTCCAGTGGGAGTGCCTGGCATTCCTTCACTTCACCTGCTCAGATTTTGTCTGCATCTGCAGGGCTGGGAACTTCTTCACTTCTTAATTAAGTGAAATCATTCATAATGAAATGCTTCCAGTTGGAGGAACTTTGCAGAAGCTTCAAGTATTTGGCTTGGATTAGCATTGCTTAGCACGGTAGTGCTGATTCCTCTAACATTTCTTTTTACAAATTCCCTAATTCCAAAATACAGGCAGCAAAATAGAGGGGGAAAATGTTCTCTCTTTTTTTTTTTTTTCTGGCTGTTTCTGCAGGTCTGTTGTTCTTTGCACTTCAGTGCCAGCACTGGTAAGACCGTGCCTAGCTGCTAGCTGCCTCGCCATTATGCCCTCTGTATGCACAGGTGCAGGCCACAGCTGCTTCAGGTGTCCCAGTAAGGATGGCTTCATGTCACAGGCTGTGTTGTACTGCTGTGTTTCACATTCTTCACTAAATCTAATCCCGTGGGCTGGAGCTTTGGGTACTGACACGTCTGTAGAGTCGTTAGGCGTTCAGCCCTTTTCTTGTTGCTGTCCAGTGATCAGCCTGCTGGTTTTGTTCAGTCGTTGTCTCTCAATGTTCTGTGCTGTGTTTCTCAGGCAGAATGTGCACTTGGCAGTCCACGCAGAGAACTTCAAGTCTGAAATTGTCAGTGTGAAAGAGATGCGAGATATCTGGTCGTGGATCCCGGAGCGCTTTGCGCTTTGCCAGCCCCTCTTGCTCTTCACCACCTTGGAACATGGCTGTAGTCTGAGCAGGTAACGACAGCTTTCCCTGCGCTTCTTTATGGGCAAAAAAGAGCATTTAATGAGCTGCTGACTGGATGGGTGTAGTCAAGCTGTCTGAAAAGCAGTCAGAGGTGGAACACAAATGTGGCAGATTCCTCTTGGCTTCAGCATTTGATCAGGGCGTCTCATTTGCCAGAAGGTGGAGAACCATTTTAATATGTCTGCAACCAATTGGAAAGGTCAAACGTACATCAGAATGTTCTGCTCTGAGATTGGTTCGTTCTCCACTGGTTATAAATGATTTAAATTGGTGGCTACTCTTTAGGCTCTTTTGAGGGATTAGTTTGAGTGTGATTATCAGAGGGAAGTAAGGGAAGTGAAAACTGGTGGTTCCCTTACAGTTTCTTTCTGTCCGTGATTCTGATTGTTGTTATTAAAGTGGGATAAAATAGACATGAGTTTTACTTGCTCTTGACACACGAGACTGTACAGCTCCTAGTAAGTACTTCCACTCTGAAACTGAGATAGTGAGCTGTCCCAGAGCCATGAGGAAAAGTAAAAATGCATCATAATTATTTGGTATCAGACACACAGCACTGAAGCATTGATAATCACCTGCCCTCAGGATGCAACTTGCTTTCCATTGCCTTATGTAAAATGCTGCTGTGGCCATAGCTAGGCTTATTCTGAGGGAGCACAAAAAGCCCTGAAAAAGCTGACGAGAGGAGAGCTGCAGTTGGCAATGGTTGTTGAGTGCTTATTTTTGTGTGCTTTGCACCTCAGGTTCTATTCTCACAGTGAGGGACACGAGCCTACTCTTGTTCTGATCAAGACCACAGCAAAAGAGGTAAGTGAGGTAAAAGGCGACTGAAGAAATTAGGTTTTGAGCAGTTGTGTTTTAATACAGTATTCCATGCAGCAGTTTCGAAGAAACTGAAGAAACAGGGAGCCTGGAATTGCTCCAGTGTTGGGATTTTCTGATTGTTTTTTAACAATTGCGTGCTTTAATTTATTCCTCTTGTTGCTTATGGGGCTTAGACGTTCGTGGGTAAGTCTTGTAAAGTAGGTTGTGGTCTGCTGTTCTTCGTGAGTAATGGGGGATGATGGGCAGTAGCTACACACTGAGCTCTTGGACAGACTCTCTTAGTTACAGAATCAGAAGGAGATGCTGTGAAAATGTGTAAACTTGTGGTTCATAGAGGATATTTTCATTTTCTCCAGGACACAAAGAGAGAAAATAGCAGAAATTGTATGGTAGGAATTATAGTGGGCTAAATAACGTGAAAACAAACACATTAGTTTTATTGCATAGTTATTAAAAAAAAAAAAAAAAAAGCTTACAACAAGAAAGTTTCCCAGACCCTCAGAAGGACTGCACATAAATACCGTGTGTGATGAGGGTCTGTTCTCTGCCATGCGTGAATTGCAGAAGCTGTGTGTGATGTGGAGCTGTAGGTACAGCCCGTAGGTTGGTATTTCTGCTTGTTTCCCCAAAATGGCTGCCCCACGGAGCAAGCTCCTCACTGCTCTTTTTCACATCCAGCTAATGCCAGTGATGCAGGTTGTTTCATAGCTGTGTGTGTTTCTGGCAGTCCCAGACCTGTGCTACCAACCAATGGTTCATATGATGTCCGTTATATCTAAAGAGAAGCAGGAAAATGGAAAAGGCATTATTTTGCTTCTTGTCCTTTCCAGCTTGGTGAAGTGATGCTGTTTTGACAGCATATTTAGTTTCCTACCTCTCAAACAAAAAGAAGGCCCCCGTGGAAACAGGGAGAAGTGTGGGGTGTTGCTGTTTGGTTGGTTGTTGGGAATGTGTGTGTGTGTGTGTGTGTGTGTGTGTGTGTGTGTGTGTGTGTGTGTGTGTGCGCTTTGGGTGGGGGTCACATTCGTCCTTTATTCCAATGTTTATCTTTGTGTTTTGGAAAGAAGAAAGCTAACCTTCCCATTTTCTGACTCTGGTGAACTTTGGATGCATCCAATGACATTCTGGGGTATTTACTTCATTCACGTGCTTTACCTGATTAACAAAACTGTTCTTGAGAGCTTTTGTCCTAGGAGCTCTGCTTGTAATGCTGGCAGAGTCCAAACAGCAAGTGAACGACTGTTTAACCATGGCTCTGAGAATGTGCTATATTGCTTTGCTGGTGTTCTTAGACCTTTGCTGTTTGTTTGGTCTGTCTCCCCTTGGTAGGAATGCTTGTTGCTGGTACTGAGAAACTCTTCTAGTGCAAATGGGGGAATCCACAGAAAAAATCAGACCTGTAAGGCTGTCCTGTTCTTATGGAAGCTACTGAGCTCCATGCTGTTTGAACAGGCTGCTCTAAATGTTGGAGCTAGTTTTAAAATCAGTCTAGCTGAGCCAGTTTTACCTATAGCTTGTTATGGGGAGGACTCAAGGCTACTGTGTGCTAGCAGGGGAGGACAGTCAGCCAGAACTGCTTATACTGTGACTTTGGATGCTGAAAGGATGAAGTAATGTAAGGATTTACAAGTCTGGAGTCATTTGTGTTTTGGTCACTGAGGGTACATTGGAACGTTTCTCCTTTAAGGCCTCACAGATGTAAAATAATTTATGAAACATTTCGTATTTAAAGGGTTCTCCCCAGCAGATTAAAGCAGTTTAAATCTATCTTTAGATATAAGTACTTGTGCTGCTTTAATCCACTGATGTAGAGCTTTTGGAAATCAAAGCTTCAGTTCTGAACTCTGCAGTGTTGCTCTCAGTTGTTGAAACACACTTTGTTCTTCTACCTTGCTGCTCACACCTTCCTGTTCCCACCAGGTCTGCGGTGCTTATCTGTCCACCGACTGGAGCGAGCGCAGGCGAGGTGGGAACAAGCTGAGTTTCTTTGGAACTGGGGAGTGCTTTGTGTTTAGGGTGAGTATGGTTTCACAGAATCACAGACTGGCCAGGGTTGGAAGGGACCTCAAGGATCATGAATCTTCAACCCCCCTGCCACATGCACGGCCACCAATCTCCTCGTTTAATGCTAAACCAGGCTGCCCAGGGCCCCATCCAACCTGGCCTTGAACACCTCCAGGGATGGACGGGGCATCCACAGCCTCTCTGGGCAGCTGTTCCAGTTTCCTTGCTCCTTGCCCTGCTGTAAGGCTGTGCTGTACTGGTGGGACTAACTCCCGCTTCCCTTCCAGTGGAAGAGGCTGCATTAATATACTTTTGTTCTTAAAGCCTGCCGAGCACTTCAGGTTGGGTGGAGGAAATGTTACTTCTCAGTTCTGTGCTGAGCCTTTTTTGCCCGATGCTCAGAGCTCTTTTTCACAAGTGTTATTAAAGTAACTTTGGGGACCACTGTGTTGTTTTTTTCAATCACTTAAAAAGCAAAGATATGAAGAAAAGAAACGATATCCAACCTAACAATGGTTTGGTCTGATCTTTACCCCTGATGGTGTGGGTGGAATCCTGAGGGGCTCGAGTGTTGTTTTCCCTGCAGAGCTCTCAGCACTGTTACTGCTCACCAATAGAAAGTTCTGTTTCTCCTCACCTGCATAGCTGCAGCCAGAAGTGGAACGCTATGAGTGGGTGATCATCAAGCACCCGGAATTGGCTGCAAGTGGTTCTGAGCCAGAAAATCATGCCTCGCCAGCTTCCAACACCCTCTCCTTCAGAGGCTCCCCCTCAGACCCATCAGATCGCCTTTCTCCCTTCTTATCAGCTCGGCACTTCAACTTACCATCCAAAACAGCTTCCATGTTCATGGCTGGCAGCAGTGAATGCATCATTATAGGTAAGTCAGTGTGAGAATGTGAGCATGTATTCCCCACCGCCTCTCATCACTATTAGATGAGAGAGTCCCATTTATTTACCACATAGGCATTTCAGTATTGTTAGTACTATTAGTATTACTGTTTGGAGAGAAAAGTTGCCAAAACATGATATTAACCAACAAAAGCTTTCTTTTGGCAACTTGCATAAAATGTGCATTTGTAAGTAAGGTCTTTGATAGTAACTTGTAGCTTTGAGCACAGCAATACCTTCGTCCTGCATAGTGATGAGAAGCAGCTCTCGAAGGGGAACTCGGCACTGAGGACTTTGACTCATAGAGTGGAATGTGAAAGACATTCCTTCTTCTGGAACTGTATCAGATCTGTGGTGATGCTTAGCAAAGTTGTCACCTCAGTGGTGGCAGATACAGAGCTGTAGTTGTCCTTCTTCCAGAAAGCTTCACTTGACACACATTAGGAGTGCAACTAACCCCGTGATTTAAACAATACCATCAAATGCCTGCTGATTTTCCACTTAACAGCACATGCACTACTCAGCCATAAGTTGGGCTGCTTCACTATCAGCTGGGCTTGTGAAATGCATGTGTAATTGAATTGGGAAGCACTGAAAATTAGAGATCACAGGTATTTGAGAGATCTGAACTGTTCACTATTGGTAGTAATAAAAGAAATACAAGCTTGAGCAGTAGTGAAGTGAATGTTGCACGTAATCCAGCTGTAGATGAGACTTTCCGCTCCTTTGATTCCTCAGATGGTTTTTGTTTTTTGTTGTTTTGTTACACAGTTGCCCTATAGGCAGTTGGGAGGTCTTTCATTTTCCAAGCACTTTTGTCTCTAAATCTATTTTACCCTACTGCATCTCTGGCCATAAGCTCTGTGAGTATTGACCAAGTGACACAGGTGATCAAAATGCAGTTTGCTTTGATGTGTTTAATCATGATTAAGAATACCAGGCCAGTTCTGTTCTTCTCCTAGATTTGATTTTGATTGCTAAGTTTCCTCAGCTTTTTCTTTACAGAGGGAAAATGTGCAGTTGGGATGGATTATCCAGCACTGAAAGACAGGCCTGAAGGCAGGAAGCTGAGTCAGTTTTCTTTTTCTTAAGGAATTGCATGGGTCTATTTTAAAAACCTTATTCTGATATTATCACTGGAAAGCAATGAATCTGAGCTTATTCAATTACACCTGAAGACAACAAGCAAACATCACTTAGGACATGGATGTCCAACCTTTTGGCTTGCCAGGGCCACACTGAGGGAAGAAAAATTGGTTTGGGCCACAGTTGCATTGTTGTCTATTAATTTTCTGAGTCTCCCTTTCTTTTTATTACCAACCACTGCTGGGTTCCATCAGTGGCTGTACCACATACATTGCCAAAGGATAAAGAAAATCACTTCAGTGTTTTTTTGTGGTTTTTTTTTTACTGCTCCATACAAATCAAGACATTGGGTCGTGTCTTTTAATGGCACCAAAGCAGCCATTGCTTCAGTGACGTGATGGTTGTTACCAATAATAAGACTGGCAGGTTGAGCCATACCTGTAGCATCGATGCCTTCACCTGTCACCAAAGCACGGCACTGGAAATGAGCAGCTTCAGTCTCCAAATTTCTTCCCGCAGATTTTGCTGCTCCTCTGGTTTGCCCAGCTGCAGCCTGGGGAGGCAAACCAGCGTGAGGAAAATCCGTGCTTTTTGTCAGGACAGATTACATCTGCCACGCTTTCCACACGTTGCCTCGTGAATTCACATCGGTACGTGGTGCTGTGTGTTTGCTGTGGCAGATTCGCTGCTGCAAAACAAGCTTTTATAGCAGTCTGTTTGAGTTTTAGCTTTAAAAAGATGTTAAGACTTGTCTTCATTTCTGCTGTTCTGGCCTTACGAAGAATTCCTTGACATTCATCAGATTTGGCAGCAGGTGTTGGCATATGCTGTCTTTTCAAACTGTGATCTTTGAAAACTGACATGATTTCCTTGCGAATTACGCGTAGTGACTGACTTGTCTGAACCAAAAAGTCCTCATCTGTCGACCTCCCGCCCGTCGGACATGCCTGATTTAGGGCTTCTGGTGTTTAAATCGGCTTCTATAACAGTTTCTCACCCTGAGACATGCAAAGACAGCTTTAACTCGGGGTTTTCTCTTCCCAGGAGGCGGTGATGGCCAGGCTCTTTACCTCGATGCAGACCTGAACCATGGGAGGACCAGCCACTGCAACACCTTCAACAATCAACCGCTGTGTTCTGAAAGCTTCCAGATCTCCGTCTTGGAGGTGTGGGGCTTCAGGGACACCATGAATGGCTGACATGACTATCGTTGTTCAACTAGCTTTCAGTTCTGGTAGGATTCCCAAGGCAAATTCTAATGCAGGAGCCAAGTTAGAACATAGTTCCCACTGGACTCAGTGTTCCTTAATAATTACTAAGCAGTGCACCTGGATGCAGGGCTTAGTTGTGTTTACTCTTATTTAAGGCAGGTGAAAGTGATGTACTCTTTTAGCTCCTTAGCTTGGAACCTCCAGAGACCCAGTGTGGCTGGCTTCAGGTGTTTGATAGTAGGCAAAATGAAAACTATGTTATTTCAAACAATCTTAAATGTGTACAGGTCTGTATCAGAGGACAATTCTGCAGTTCAGCACAATTCCTCAGAGGTGCTGATCTGGCTGAGGTGTACTGTAGAGCATCTGGCCCCAGCCACAGATATCAAATGTTCGTTTATAGCAACACTGGAGGCCTCGGATTTGACGTAGGGCAGTAGTTCACAGAGCCATTGCCCCAGTGTAAACAGATACTTTGCAGACAAGTCATGAGTACCACTGATGAACCATCAGTACTGTTTTAGGAGTCAACTATGAAGGAACTGTGATTGCTAGTTCCCCTTCTGAGTCCTTGATACATTCCAGTTGCATCTCTTTGTGGAGGCTGCCTCTGCAAAGGGCATCCAGACTGGACAGGGATATCTCAGAGGCTTGATTTTGTTTACATTCCTATTCCATATCAGTATAATAGCTCAGTCTGGCTCAAGTTTCAGGCAGCAGAAAGCACAAGATTGTATGGAGTGCTTAGACTTCTTTGTGATTGAGTTGTTCACGGAAGCTGAACTGAAGCATTAGCAGTACGAATAACTGTGCAGTATCACTGAATGTGTAGGGAAATAGGCACTGGGGTACAGAATGCACCCTCCTCAAGTAAATGGAGGGATGTGCAGGGAAATATTCTGTGCAGCATTACTCTGGGAGTGAAGAAGTTTCCCAGGAGAACTCTTGGTGACACTTGCTCCATATCACAAGCAAAGAAGAAAGCGCCGGTGGCTTTTTTGGCTGTTTAATCCAACATCTGTGTTGGGGTGGGGAAAGCACGATTGCTGCTTACACATGAAGTCCATAAAGGGTTAACATTAAAAATTTACAGTGATGAAATATCTCTTGGGCTGGACAGGGTCAATCAAGTTGATAATGTTAGCTTGTACAGCTTGCTAGCAAAGAAAATACCTTGTGTCTTTGCTGCTTGCAAAGCGTATGAGCAAACTTGGCAAAAATGAAAAAAACAAACAAAAACATTTAAAAAGCCATTTTGAATATTTTATTTTTTTCAGAATAACTCCTTGGAATACTTGATTGCATATACAAATCCAAGGTGTCATCTTTTGCCCCACAGATATTTTCCAATTACATCATTTCTCATGCTGCATGTTCTTTTCATAGGTTTTCATAGCTTGATTGAAGTGGAGGGGCTGGTATAGAATGGGAAGGATCCTGACAATCATATCTGGTTTTGATAAGCACTGCTCATGCCTTTTTTTCAAAGCTGGCAGTATCCTGTTGCACTAGGTAGCATCCCATCATCTTCCTGTGACAATTTAGCTGGAAAACATACTGCATTTAGTAGGATCTCTTAAACAGAGGTGGGATTTCTAACTTGGTCCATATCTCCTTTTCTGAGCTCATCTTTGAAGTGCCCGTGCAGGAAAATGATAAGATTGATGTTCAGCTCTGTTAAGCTGTCAGAAATTCCCTAGAGCTGCGTGCTGGCAGGGTTTGTGGGACTTCAGAATTACTCTCAAAATAACAAATAGGTTTTTCTGTGCAGATTTGTTCCCACAGTCACTGGTGGTGACTTTTTGTCCCTTTCCATCCCCACTGGATGCAACGGTGTCAGCAAGGCCTGAGTGCTGTACCACTTTGTAAGCCATATCTACAAAACCTCGTTCCTTTCCCTGCTCTGTTGTAGCACACAGAGATGGGGATGTTTGAGCAAATAAGAGCAGCTTCTGATCCCTCTGGTGGAGGTGCACAAGAGCCCTCTCTCGGGTAACTTCTCTGAATGGCCAACCAGTCTTTGGCATCCCCCCCCAAGGACACGTGACACCGAGTGACAGCTTTGCAGCTGGGAGCACAACCTGAGCTGTGACCTGCACAGCTCTGCAGATCACAGCAGGCTGTGGGGGCCGTTTGGGGCAGGTAGGTGTGCTGGCAGGTGATTTTCCTTCTGTTCGTTACTCACATCAATCTTGAGGCATGTATTGCAGCAGTGGTTTTAGTCTGTTTGTTGCATTCTCCTCTTGCAGACATCCTGCAATGTAGTGTTGCCTTTGAATAGCCTAAATAAGTAAGAGGCTGCAGTAGTCTAACCAGATACGTTATACAAAGCTCTGTCGTCTTCACACATTCCTTTGGTTCAGTAAAAATTGTTTCTTTTCCAGTGCAAATCCTTGGGTAGTTGTTGTTAATAGTTGTGAGGCAGCCTCGAGGAGCTGTACTGTGAGTTGATTTTTCTTTGCAGTAGCAGAGAGGCATTTTTTGTCCCTGTAGACAATGATTGTCACTGTCCATGAGTGTATCAGCAGTCCAAGTAAGTGAGCCAACAGTTGATGTGCTAACATGCAAAACCCTTCAGATAGGCCACAAACAAATGGCTTTCTAAGAAAATGGGTTCAGCAGGCACCTTCCCAGGCTATCTGAAGTTCCCCAGCTGCAAAGTGGTTTTGATTCCGTTACAGATGACTCTGTGTGCCCTCCTGCTGCTTTCAGTGACAGCAGGAATACGGCTGTCACTGCAGGGACAGTTTGATGTGAAGATGCAGAGCTGAAGGCTGAGCATTGGCTGCCACGGTTCTTCGGGAGCCATTTGCTTTCTTGGGGAGCTGGTTTTGTTTTGTAATTCTCTACTGAAGGGAGAAAAGAGCAAAAATTCCTGACACTGGAAACTTGCATGTGTTTGTAAATGGCATCAAAGTTGTTTCCAGGCCACAGGAGCTGTTTCCAGCTGCTGGCCAGGCTGGACAGCCTTCTTCAGTAGATCCACAAGCTGCCATTCCTGCACTTGGACATGCTTTGTTTTCTGATGAAGGATGTTTAAGGCAGGAGGAAGGGAGGAAAACTTCAACTTCCTCCGTGTTGAGATAACTGAAGGCAAATCGAAGGGGCAGACAGTGCTGCTCTCTGAAGAGTTAAAGATTAATGCCAATAGGAAAGCTGTGTTTTGCCATGGGAGAAGTGGCATAACTTACGTATCAATCAGTTGCTATTTGTGTGTGTGCACTGAAGTTTTGTTCTTTCTCCTATGAAATATGTCCACGTTTTTTATGGGGAGTGAGCTGACCGTGCAGTCACTGTCGCAAAGCTGATGCCACAGTGAGTGGGACCGAGAGCTCTCCTGCAGCCATGGCCCCGGAGGAGCTCAGCTGCTGCAGCCAACACCTGGAACACTACTGTGGGGCAGATGGGAGGCCCAGGAATCCCCCTCACAGCCCAGGGTGCCCTCTGCCAGCACTGCTGCCGTGGGTATTGTACTGAACCATTCGGAGCTGAGATGAGCGTGTTCTCGGGTGATGTGCTGCCAAATTGGTGTCCAGCTCTACTCTTGAAATTGCTGCCCTGTGTCGATGCTGTTTTTGTCACCGTGTAGAATCTTGGATTGTATTAAAAGGCGTTGGACTGTGGAAGTGAGTGGCCTCATCCTTCAGCACAGCTGTCCCTGGATTTGTCCTTCCTGTAGACCTCATAGCAAACGATCTGGTAAAACTGAGCAATAAATCATTGAATGTGTGTTCTGTCTCACCGCAGTGAGATGCTGCACTGACTCCTGCTGAGATCTGGTGCCAAACTAACTGACAAATAACACGAGGCTGGAGAACTCTGCGATGAGCAGCCTTCCCTTGGCCAGGGCTGAGTGTTTTGCCCCAACCCTGTGTTGAAAACAGATCAGCCCAACCAGCAGTGCTGCTCGCGTGCAAAGGATGCAGTACTGCCATTGAGCAGAGCGGGGTTCTGAGTGAGATGTCTGCCAGGCAGGAGGAAAAGAAACACAGCATAGGGGCTTCCTGTGCGTTTTTTGTGGGTGCTTCCAAAAGCAAGGCTGTGGTCTGTGAAAAAGTTTACTGAACTTGCAGAAACTATTCAGGCTGTTTCTGTGCCTGCTGTTTGCTGCAGGGAAAGCCCGTGGCCAGCAGAGGTTCCCCTTTGATTCATCATGATTAGGAAAAGCCATTCCTTCTTCCTCCATCACAAACAGAACCAATTTTACAGTCCCAAGATTGAGTAAACTCAGATCATCAGAGTACTTTTTTCTTACAATAGACATAAGGGTCGGGCAGAGGGGTAAGCAGGAGGCTTTCTACAGATGAGCTCACTTTTAAAAATCACTTTTAAGCATTTAGCTCCATAACTCAATTTTACAACTGCGTTAGAGACCTTATGCCTACCAACAAGGTGCTGTGCAGCAGGACAGGACAGGTTGAGCAATGTGGGCTGCTGGCTCAGGACTTTGCCTCTGCTTTGAAGTATGTGGCCGTGGACATGAGAGGAGAATGGAATGCTTGATTGCATCAAGCAGTGGGAGGGCTCGGTGGGGTGGGATTCATCTCTCCTGGGCCCCTTGGCTCTGCTGTCTGAGGCTGCTTTTCACTGTTGGCAAAACGTGTGATGGTCTGATCAGTGAAACTGAGCCCATCCTTCAGCTGGGTGATGTCTGAGGGCGTTTGGCCTCTGTTCTGCTTGTACCTCTTGAGCAAGTGCAGATAAGGCAGCAGTGACTATGCTGTCCCTGACCCCGCACGCGTGCCTTCCTGTTACTGATTCAACTTTGGTTCTGTTTGTTGGTGATTCACCTCCCTCTTTATAGCTGAGGCGTCCTCCCAGGTCTGCGCCCTCCATCTGCCATTGACTGTTTTTTTTGGTGCTCTTGGAGCCCTTCTGATCCCTCACAGCCACCAGGAAAGGACTCAGCTTGGGAGAGCCCCATGGCAGAGGGGATCGAGCGCTTGGGCCGCGTCACCCTGCCAGCCCACAGGAGTTGGATTCTCTGTGCCATGAACAGAAGCCCAAAGCCTGACCTCTGCCTGTCCCTGCCTGTGTCTGTCTGTCCCCACGTGGCTCTGCCAGCCATGACTCGTGCTGTCCTGCTGGCCGTGGCTGGCGCAGGGCGTTTCTCTTCAAGTGCTTCTCATCACGCTGAAATCCTGCTTCCTTCCAGGCCCTCCGTGTTCACATGAAGACCCACATCTGCCTCCCCACATGGAGAAGCCCCTTGCTGTGCTGCAGGGGTTGCTTCAGGCCCCTTTCCAGAACCAACACGTGGGCTCTGAGCATACCGTGGGTTGATGGACTCTGGTGCTCTGACTGTCCACACATCACAGACCACAGCGCAGCCAGTTTGCTTGCTTGCTGTGAGTCTTGCAGAGCACCAACCTGTCCTCCCTTCAGGAGAGCTTTGGGGCTGAGGCTTCAGAAATCCCTTCAGCATCCATTTGCTGGGCTGTGCAGGGCGGGATGTCCAGGCTGGCACTGTGTTCCTTGGGCTCCTGCATGCAGAACTGAGTGCCCCATAGAGCGGCTCCAGGGCAGCATCAGGACTGCTCTACCTACCCAAGCAGCTATGCTGGCAGCTATGGGTTTTGCTGAAACAATGCCTGCAGGTTTCATTCTGGCTTTGACAGATTTCAGCAGTTCCAGGCGCTGACTTACACTGTACCTCTAAGAATCTGCCATATTTTATTTTCTTTTACCAGCTGCCATGACCAATCACAGCTGATGCCATATCTCAAGTTCCTGGCTGCTCAGCTGTAGCTCCTAACTAACAGTGCCATCGTTTGGGGCAGATAAAGGAGAAGGAGAAGCTCTTAAAGCCAGAGCTGCACCTGAGTTGTGCTGGGGCTGTGCTGCTGTTCCCCGGTGTCAGTGCTGGCTGCAGGAGGAGCAGCTCAGCCTCCTGCACTGCTCACACTGCTCAGGGAAGGCTGCAAGCACTGCTGAAGCTGTGGGTCTTCCTGGTACAGCTTCCTTCTCTAAGGGGCCCTATCAATGTGTGTGCAGAAATTGCAGAAGTGGAAACCAGGAAGGGGAATAACTGACTGGGAGAGGAAACGTGATGGTGATGTGTTTGACACAGCCTAGAGGGAAGTATGGATGAGTGTAAAGGTTTCTGAAGGGAGAGGAAAAGCCCCTCTCCCCCCACCGGACAGCCCTGACAGGTCCAGAGCTCTGATGGATGTCCTGTGCAATGTGCTGGTCTATATGGAAAGGGAGCTGTGCCCTCCTTGGGGTCCTGCTCTGCCCATGGGGGTCTCCAGCTGCTGCCCCCGCTCCCAGGCTGCCCTCAGGGGCTGTGTGAGGAGGGCAGGGTCTGGGGCAGCCCAGAAGGAAAGGGAAGGGCAGACCTTGGCCGTAAGTCAGTGTAAACAAGTTCCTTTGGCCTGAATTGTGCCTTATGATCTCTGCTGCCATCCGTCTCTGGAGCAGCCAGAATGTGCTTGCAGGGGCTGGATCTGTGTTTCCTTGTACACAAGGGACGGGGACACTCAGCAGCAGTGGCACCAGCCAGCTCCTGCCATTGCACTGGTTTTGGAGGCAAAGGATGTGTTTAAGGGCTTAATGGTTAATCTGCATCCCGCGAGCTCAAAGAACTTGTGAAGGTTAAGAGAGGCCGGGAACTCATCTGTGTTCCTCGTCCTTCCCCCAGCACGGAGCCCACAGCCCTGCATTGGGCAGGGACTGAAATCTCAGTGCTCCTGTGGGGAGAGCTGTGTGCTGAGAGCCACCCCCGGCACGAGGAAGTGCTGCACGCTCAGGGAAGAGGGAGGAAGAATATTGGAGCGTCTGCACGGTGCTTCTGTGGTTCAGGCCGTGCCCTCCCCTGCTGTCGAGGATGCATCACATGGAGCACTGCACTGCTGCTGCCCTGCATCCCTCAGCGGCGTGCAGGAAAGCACCCCGCAGCCTGCAGCCAGCCCGTGCCGGCTGTGCTGTGTGCCATGAGGATGGGCGGCAGTCTGTGCCAGCCTGGTGTCTGCACGTCAGCTGTGCTCCTGATTCACATGGAGCCACGGAGGCGTTCCGACAGAATGAGCTATTCCTGAAGGGCCCCATGTGATCCTGACTGTGTCAGCTGATGGGGAAAAAATCCCTTTATGAAAGAAGCAGCGCACACCTGACGTGGGCCCCAGGCCCTGCGCGTCTCCCCGTGCCTGCCCAGCTCAGCCCCAGCTGTGCACGGTGCAGTGATGAGTACGAACAGCACAAGTCCTGAGTGAGGGAAGAGGAGTAATTTGGATCCGAATTTGGATTAAGGCAATCCTAGCGTGTCTGTGGCAAAGGGGCTCAGAGCTGCAGTGCTGTGTGCTGCCCGGAGCATCGTGGCCATTTCCAGCTGAGGACACGAGGACAAGTCTCCTCGCACAGGGCTCCTGGGAAGCCCATGGGTGCAGGGATGGGCGCTGCTGCAGAGTCCTGTTGGCACAGCACTGGGACCCGCTGCCTTTCCTCGCACAGCAGGGACACTGTGACAGCGCCAGGGTTTGTAGTCCCCTGGGGACGTGGTAAGAGGAGGATCTGAGTGTCGCCGTGCACATCCCATATTTCCACTGAGTCTCCTCCAACCAACCCTTCCGCTTTTCCAGCCAGCTCTCCCTGTGTGATCTTTTGTCATCCACAGTGACTTTTGCCCTTTTCACTCACATCCCCCGAGCTGTGCCACATGGGCTGCACCTTGGGGAGGCAGCTGTGCCTGTCCCCATCTGCAGCCAACCTTACAGCACGGTGCCACAATTCTGCGTTGGGCGTTGGAGGAGAGGTGACACCCAGCCACAGCACTCTGCCTCTTCCAGCACCAAAGGCAGTTGGCCATCTGCTTCCAAAATCCCCGTTCTCAGCTCTGTGCAGCCCTGAGGTCAGTGCTGCTGGGATCCTGCCTAGATGTGACCTTGGGCTCCCACTGCAAACCACAAAGCAGCACCAGGCCAAGAGAAATAATAAAACCAAACAGCTCCTGCTCTGTTTCAGTTTCTCTTTGCTGAACTAGGCGATAACCCTGCTGTTTACCTTGGCTCCCTGCAGTGCTTCGTTTGGGTGCTCTGGAGCTGTGGATGCAGTGCAGAGCTGGGAGCTGGGAGCTTCAGCTGGGGCAGAGCTGTATCCACAGGAGAGGAATGGAGCCAGGGGTGATTTCTGGGGTGAGAGCGGCAGCAGTGGTGATTTCCCACCCGCTTTCATCCTTGGAGAAGCAAAGAAAAACTGTGATATGGAAAACGGAGACGAGAGAGGATTGATGGGCAGGGAAGCTCCGAGCAGCGAGGAGATGGTGGTGTGGTTGGATGAGATGGGATTGGATTCAATCAGAGGCATCAGTGTGCCTTGTTGAGATGAGCAGAGCAGACAGCTCAGGATGGAAATCAGTTACTTCTGATCCAAGCAGAGCAGAAGAGCCCCGTGCACAAAATGCCCAACCAGCAGAGCAGCGCTGTGTCCCTGGAGCTCTATGGATGGCACTGTGTGATGGCAGCACCACAGGGCTGGGCTGGGCACCCTCATGCCTGCAGCCCTGGCAGCAGTGCCTGCGTCCCCCCCAGCTGGAAGCAGCACCAGGAAGTTGTCTGTTTTCAACCAGTGATGGCCCAGGAAGGATTTAGCAGCGCCCAAAAGCCCCTCAGCACCTGGGCATCACGCA